GTCGTCGTCGCTCCTCGGGACGAGAAGACCAAGAGAGTCAAACCAAGAGTCGAGCCGTCGAAGACGACGAACACTCAAACAGGTGAACGAAAAGAAGGAAGTGACGGAACTCAAGGAACGATCGGAATCAAGGTCAGGGTCTGATCGATCATGTGATCCGAACAAACAGGAAACGAGAGATTTGGTTTCCACGTTATTCTCTACCTACATGCGAACATGGGCCAGGCCTTTTTCTTATTTCCTTCTATGTACGCAGTACACAAGGCTGAATTTAAAAAAAACATGATGGCGTAGATCATGGTAATTATTGTTAATTGATATTTTCCTTCTATGTACGCAGCACACAAGGCTGAGTTTTAAAAAAACATGATGGCGTAGATCATGGTAATTGTTATTAATTGATATTTTCCTTCTATGTAAGCAGCACACAAGGCTGAGTTTCAGAAAAACAAATATATGATGGCGTAGATCATGGTAATTCTTGCTAATTGATATGATTAAAATAGGCCCAGGTTGGAGCGAGATCGTGGTAATTATTGCGTAATTATGATGGCATAGATCATACGGTAATTGTTGATAACTGATTATGGTAAATGATGTGATACAACATTGAGGCAATCCAGTCCATTGAGAGATGGCGGATGTATGGCTGAGATGTAATCTTTCTGCCACAACTCGATTGTTTAATAGTAGTGGAGATGAACATTTTTCAATGCAAATACATTTTTACAGTACTTGTTGAACATGTTTTCATATATGTAGTGAACATTTTCCCAAGACGTTTTTTAATACACAATGAACATTTTTTATAGTGTAAATACATTTTTATACATTGTGAGCATTCTGCCTAGCTGATGAACAAATTTAAGTATTGTTAATACTTAATACAACTTTTGAATACACAATGACCATTTTTCTATTGAATAATTAACATTTTCATAGTACTTACTAAACATTTTTTAAATATGTAATAAGCATTTTCCTAAGACATGTTTTAAACACTATAAAATGCTACTATGAACATTTCTCTCCCTAATGTAATTGATATTTTTTTTAAGTATTGCAATTTCTATTGAACAATTAACATTTTGATAGTACCTGTTGAACCTGTTTTGAAATATGTAATGGACATTTGTGAAATACACAATGAACATTTTTAAATGCGAACACATTTTCATAGTACTTGTTCAACAGGTTTTGAAATATGTAGTGATCGTTTTTCCAAGACATTTTTGATACACTATGAACATTGTTTTTAAATGCAAATACATTTCCTATACACTATGAGCATTTTTCTTCCTAGTTGATGAACAAATTGAAGTATTACTAATACAATTTTTTGTTAGACAATGAACATTTTTCTATTGAAGAATTAACATTTTCATAGTACTAATTGAACATTTTTTGAAATATTTAATAAGCATTTTCTTAAGACAATTTTCAACACACTATGACCATTTTCTGAAAATGCATTTTTTTAATACTAGAATATTTATATCCCTAATGTAATTGATGACCAATTTAAGGTATTGCAAATACTTTTTAAACATTTTTCTATCGAACAATTAACATTTAGATTGTACTTGCTTAACTTGTTTTGAAGTATGTAATAAACATTTTTCCAAGCCATTTTTTAAATACACTATGAACATTTTTTTACTTCAAATACATTTCACAGTACTTGTTGAACACGCTTTGAAATATGCTGTGAATATTTTACCAAGACATTGTTTAAATAGACTATGAACATTTTCTTAATTACAAATATATTTTTAAGTAATTCGCAAAAAAGACATTATTCAGTATACAATGAGCATTTCTCAAATAACTTATTCAGGCTTCCAAACAGAGAATTTTTCAAATGTTCATCATTATTTTAGATTGTACTCAGCTTTTTGAATTATCGCTTCATATCTTTGTAGATGTACTTCTTTGAATGTTCTATCCAAACAATAAATTCTCCAAAAAAACAAGTATGTCACTCCAGCTTTCAACTTATTTCTTCTTCCTTCATGTATCTCTTCAGCTGGATGTGCAAGCTTTATGGGAAAAGTTTGTCTTCCAACTCATGAAAAAAGGACAACAAAATTAAACTACCGTTTGTCGAGGATTTAATGGACACATATGTAAGTTTTTGGTGTATTAAATTTCCTTCTCAATGAAATTCTTGATCAAATCTTCCAAAAAATGACATTGTTCTGTACTCATTTTCTTTTCTCATTGCGTGCAAGCTCCCCAGCTTCTGAACTAACAAGAACTAAGAAAGTACATAATTTTGTATTTTCCATCGATCGAATGACTGTTAGCACGAGAATGAAAGCTCTGATAACTTTGATGACTAAAGAAGAGTGAGGGACTGAACAACAACTTAGCAGCTGACCAACTAACCAAGCACTATTTCCATGCTTAGCTCAATGACAAAGCTATTGTACCAAACTAAGCAAGTACTTGTTTTGTACAATGAACGGAAGAGTTTTCTACACTTGTTCTTACATTCTTGAATCCAGTTCCTTATTCAACCGAAGTGAAACAACTTACACTAGATGTTAATACAAGTAAACTACAACAACTTAGACTAGATGTTTTGCAAACATCTTACTAGATTCAGTCCCTTTTTTTGTCCAAGTGACATTTTCTTCATAATGCAACTTGAACTGAAAGGGAAGGACATTCATTAAGGCTTTGTTTGGGTGCAAGGGTAGGATAACCGAGGGTGACGGGGGATTTTCGCAAGCATATGTTATCCCCATCTACAAACGAGAACATCACATGACCATTTTCTGTGCTAGAATAAGAATAGCAAATACACAAATGTCAGAATTTACTACAAATATATATGATTTTGTAGTTGGGAAAGATCTCCCACTACAAACAAAAACATCATGTGACCATTTTCATACCCTAGAATAAGAACAAGCCATTGTTCGACAAGTTCCAAAAGATAGAACTACCAGGCCAACGGCAATACTAATGAAAAACAATAATAGCCATAGAAAAATAGTAAAAAGCAAACGAAAAAGAAGAAGTGAAGAAGAGATGAAAGGAGCGAAGCAAACAGGGAAGAAGAAGCGAACAAAAGCAAGCGAACAACAAAACTAATGCTATTGGAATGGCCCACTAAAATCATCCCATGAGGCAAGCAACCTTCTACCGCGCCAAGCGAGATATAGAAGCGCCCAGCGCCATGTCACACAAAAGAAAAGGAAAAAAATTAACAGAGAAAACAGAGTAACGAGCGAGTGCGCCGACTATTTCTCATATTAAGCGAGACCGTACGAACTCTCCCGAACTCTGGCTGAAGGGTGTACAGTAATTGTGCCGGCCCATTTCACGCAGTTAAATGAAAATAGGAAAATTAGGGATCAATCCCTGGTCTCCTGGGAGATGGCTCGCTCTAATAGCCATTGCACCCAAGTCTTGCACGTGATAATCACTGGTGCGTTGTGTACTTGAGGCGAATCAAGCCGTTTTTCCACTGGGTTTCACGTTTTTTTTGTTTCTTGACAGGGTTTTCTTCTTTTTTGTTTGGTTTTCTTTTTTCTTCTCCATTATTTCTGGTTTTCTCTTTTCTTCCCCATTTTTCATTTTTCTTATGTTTGTTTTTGTTTTCACCCTATATTTTTGTATATGTGAAAAACAATTTTCCAATCCACGTTTAGCATTTTTTTCAATACCAATTTAACATTTTTTCAACACATGGTCAATATTTTTTCTATACACATTTTAAATATTTTTCAAATGATTGATTAAAATTTTCTAAATATTTAATTTTTTGAATAAAAGGTCAACATTTTTTCTATACACATTTAAAATTTTCCAAATGCTTGATTAACATCTTTCTAAATGCAATATTAACATTTTTTGAATACAAGGTCAATATTTTTATACACATTTAACATTTTCCAAATGCTTTATTAACATTTTTAATACTTGTTCAACAATTTTTTGAATGCTTGATTAATATCTTTTATATACACTATAAAGAAAAAGCATCATTTTTTTAACACATGGTCAATATTTTTTCTATAGACTTCTAACATTTATCAAATGTTTGATCAAAATTTTGCGAATACTTGTTTAACATTTTTTTCAAATGTTTTATTAACATTTTTTTATTTAAATGATAAAAAAACCCACCATTTTTTAATACATAGTCAATTGTTTTGCACATGTAACATTTTTCAAATGCTTGATCACAAATTTTTCAATATTTCCTGTTTTTGTTTATTCTATGTTAGAATAATTCAGGATTACAAAATGGTTCTAAAATTTCAAAAAAAAATTACGAGTTTTGAATTGTAAAAACAGTTCTTGAATTCAAAAAATGTTTACGATTTAGAAAAATCATTTTTTATTTTGATGAAAATAATTATGAAATTTTTTTAAACTTGAAGAAAAAAAATTAATTCGATGGTTTTTTTAACTTGATGACCAAAATTTGTATTCAAGAACATTTTTTGAAAACAAATGGATGAACAAATTTTTATTTCGATGAACATTTTTCGAAAATAATGAACAAATTTTGAATTTTATTAATATTTTTATGTCGGTAATAAATTTTGAATTGTGATGAATACTTTTAAAATCCGATGAACAAAATATTGAATTCGATTAACATTTTTAGAATTCGTATAGGATTCCCCTTAGGGGCGCCCGAGAGCGAGCGAACAAAACGTGAACGAGTGCTAAGAAATGGGTCGACCCAAGATTGTACGGCCACCTGAAAGCTTCGGGCGATCCAGAAGCTAGTCTCGCGTTAGGCGAGATATAGTTCTCGTACAGGACGCGTGGCGAGCGATCCGGGGTGGGACGACGCTTCGCTGGAAGGATCGGCCGACGGGGCCGGTCAGCTAGCGGCGTGTGCTCGCCACACACCCCAAATCCTCCCCCACACGGCCACGCCTACTCAAGCACACAGACGATCCATACATCCACAACCCCCACCAAACCAATCCGACCAACCAAGAAACACCGCCGGCCGCAGCCACCAAGAACCATCCATGGCGACCCTGTTCTGCGCGGCCGCTGCCACCTCGTGCCGTCTCGCCTTCCCGCTTGCCGTGCCGGCGCCGGCGCCAGGCCTTGGCCGCGGCCGGGCCCGACGCGGCACGGTGGCGGTGCGTGCGGAGGCAGACACCGCCGCTGCTGGGACCGGGATAAACCCGGCCATCCGGAAGGAGGAGGCCAAGGTGGTCGACACCGTCCTGGCCGGGGAGCTCTCCAAGCCGCTCACCCCGTACTGCCGGTACAGTTCCCTTTCCCCATCCTGCTATTTACTTCTGATTACTAGTACATGTTTATGTTTGGTGGTGCAAGAAGCCATTTTAGTCACCCGCGTACACGTTGCAGGACGAGATTTGCAGGGCATGCCATTTCACTCACCATTAACATAGTACATATGCAGTGTGTAGTTGGACTGCGCAAATAAATCATGTCGAGACAATGTTCTGACTTCATTAAACAAGCGATTATTATCGAAGAGGAAAAACCTTTTGAGATATCCAAGAGGATAAAGAACTGTGGTTCTTTTTCAAGGATGTTCTGCAGAACAAGTACTTGCTTTTTTATTTAGAGGAGGATCACCCGGCCTCTGCATAGAACAAGAACTTGCTGGTTCTTAATGCAATCCGGGTCCAGACAGATGGCAACTTTTCTGATTGTACTGTTTTGATGGCATTTTTCCATCTCCAGTTTTAATTTAGCTAACTACAACCTTGACAGGAACCTGCAACAAATAATTTACATGGGTAAATCGAATGGTAATTTGATTTGTTGTAAGAGGAAGATTTGTACTGCTACGGGCAACTGTCTCTAATCTAAATTTAGTTGGTTAAAGGTTTGAGTGGACTCTGCAAGAACAATAAATTTAATAAATGGGCTTGGTTGATCGCCTACGGTATCCCAAGTTGGCGTGCGAAGCAAAATTTAGACTGCTACACTGAGTTTTTTTACCTTCAGTAACTGAATTGATCCTATGATCAGCAAATTTTAAGCCTTAGAATGGCCAACGGTAGAAAACTAAGTAAAGAGAATACATAAATCTTCATGATTGTTTTGTGCACTGTTATATTTACAGTAGCTGAGTTGTAATCCTGATACTGTTGCTCTCCTGATGAGAGCCAATTTAAGTTTAACTGTACTCTGTTGCTGTTGGTTAACCTTCTTAATGCAAGCATAATGCAACACTGTTGCATTTCATAAGAAAAAAATGTTCCGATGAATTACCCGTTATTACTTCATCCAAAACAACTGCACTCTTATAACTATATCTGCTGAACTATACTAGAATTTGCAAGCTGAATCCCAGTTCGTTGATACTCCCTCCCTAAAGAAATACAAGAGCGTTTAGATCACTAGTGGTCTAAACGCTTTTATATTTCTTTAGGGAGGGAGTACTTCAAACAAATTATTAATAGTGTTTATTGACCCAAACTGCGGGGACCAGCCAATTGATGGTCTTTATGCTGTTGATGCCTGCATTACAGAGTTCGTCTTCCTTTGGAATACTTGATTTGCATACCATTTTGAAGTTCCAACTATTACTCATTTTCCTCTAAATGAATGATTACTGACTTTGATTCATGTGTTTGCCACAAGGTGCTGGAGATCGGGAACATTTCCACTGTGTGATGGAAGCCATGTGAAGCACAACAAAGCAACGGGTGATAATGTAGGGCCCTTGCTTGTTAAGAAGTAGAATGAGTTATTTTTCCTCAATTTGTGTTGAGTGGAATAATGTGTATATCGTAGTTGGTATAACGTTTTTCTCAAATGTAATAATGAAGTTCCATGCTGCAACAACCCTGTTGATCAAAAGAGCAGAATTAAGAGAGAAATTGCCATGCTACAAAGCAAAATAAGTATCATTTCTGCACACTAGTCAATGTGTACGTGCAATGCACGTATTTGGAAGTATATATTAATTGCATGCGGATATCAAGTAGGATATTATTTGCGTGTTATTATGTGATTAGCACTATATTTGACATGAAATTAACTGCACGCTAAACGTGTTGAGCGCTTGACATTGAAGCAGTCTTGGTCGTTGGATCGACATGATTCGATGGTCGAGATTAATTGGATTTGCCCCTCTGGGTCTTTTTATATTAGTATAGATATAGATACTACATGTATAGTGTCCCATGAATTTGATAAAATTTTATAGGATGCACTAAAAGGAGAGTATACTCGATTTATCAGTCACTTTACAAATCAGCAAGTGCGATGATACAGGCCAATGAGAAATTTGAAAATGCGCTCAAATCAAGTAATGCTTAATATAAACAAATTATTTGGAAATGTGCTGCTCTTGTGAGGGCGACCCGAGCCATAGTTGTCGCCATCCATCTTCTCTTTTCCCTCCTCGCAGCCCGTGCCCCGTGCTGCACTTGATTCGAGTCAAACTTGGTTTTAGGCTGGTCATAGTAGGGAGTAACTTAGACTAGTGTCATGCATATGACACTAGTCTAAGTTAGTACTTCCATAGTGCAAAGTATCTTAGTAGTAGTATCATAGTTTGTTTCATTTATTGCCTTATAGACTCATTTTGCCTCGGGAAGCGCTATGTTACAGTAACATATTATGGGCCTGTTTGGTTCCAAATAAGTCACCAACTTATAAGTCGAAAAGTGAAAAAAGTGACTTATTTTGCCAAACAGACCCGACTTATAAGTCACCCCAACTTATAAGTCATAAGTTGCTCCACCCCAACTTAAAACTTATAAGTCACCCCCTTTTGCGTGGGTCCCACCACCTGCATGATGTTGATTGGTGTGGAAAGGTGTGTCAGGTGACTTATAAGTCAGGTGATAACCAAACAGGCGTGACTTATAAGTCACTAGTTTTAAGTCACCTGACTTATAAGTCGGGTGACTTATTGAAACCAAACAGGCCCTATGTTACTCCAAGCACCTCTCTCTTCATTAAATACTTGCCACATAAACAAAATTGTCTTGGGATGTGTTAAGTTACTACCTAAGTTCCCCCACTATGACTAGCCTTAGTAAAGCTCCTGTGCTGCACTAAATATCAAGAACCAAGATTTTCCGACATCCAAGCACTTGATTTGAGTCAAACTTGGTTTGCTGTACAGGATTCCACCATATTTGTCCACACAAATAGTTCTTGATATTTAGTCATGATTGTTTTTCTCCATAGTTCAGTGTCTACATTTTTATTCTCCTAATATAGTCATACTGTCCTTTTTATAAAGTGCAGATGTACTTTAGCCAATTGATTTTAGTAAAGCTCCTGTTTGTACAGTATGGATGAAAAGGTGCACTGAAACATCTTGCAAAAAAAATAGTCTTGTGCTGGATGCAGTTTTATAATCAGTTTTATAACCACAACTCCAGCAATCTTATTAGCCTTTTCTCATATGTATGCTAAATTAAAATGAGGCCAAACGAAAATCCAACTCGGTGCTCGGGCTCATCTGCTCCCGAGTTATAGTAAATTCAAAAAAAATGCTAGGAAAATTCAAAATAAACTGTTTTTTCTTGTATGAAAGATGTTCGCATGCGTGATGTCGGTGCAAAATTTCATCCCGTTTGGACATCTAGGAGCTCATGGCAAAAAAGAGAAAATCGGTCCAAATAGTGCTTGAACAGTAATCTTTCTCACATAGCCGAATTTGTCTTTTTTGTCGCGCGCTCCTCGAATGTCCAAACTCCACCAATTTTTGCACAAACATCACGCACATGAGCATCTTGCTTCCAAAAAAATCAGATGTTTTTTATTTTTTTTCTTTTTCTTTTTGCCCGGGCTCATCTGAGCCTGAGAAGCAGAAACACCGCTCTCAAGGCCGAACACATACATTGTAAATATAGCATGTTTTCCCAAAAATGGTTATGGAACTCATAGGCACCCTCCTACTTACTGTAACATAATCGAACTACTAATGGAATTTTTAGACCTCAGTAAAACTATAATTTTGGAGACAAAAACTTACAAATTTGACCTACACAGTATACCTATAAAGATATTAAGATTGGATACTTAAAAATCCTATACGAACTTTTGTCTTCAACATGTATATAGTTTTATGACATTTCAGTAAATATATTCAAGTAAAATATTGGTGGTTAAAGCCAGATTAGGAAGATCTTACCAAAACAAACAACTACTAGGAACTGGATCAATATATGTTTGCATGTCAAGCTCAGCTTATAGTGATTGTGAAGTGGGATTGAATGCATTTTGACGATGAAATCATCTAGGATCAAAGCGGAGGTGCCTGCTTTCTACCAAGAAATTGCATCGTCATTAAATGTTTATGTCTTCCTTTCTTCCTTGACAATCTGAATCTGAATACTACTTTCTTTTTCCCTAAGTTCTCTTTATGGTCCTTTCTGCTGAATATCTTGCAAATGCCACACTGAAGTGCAGGAAATTATTAGGTGTGTGGGTATCAGTCCACTATTCTCTTATGTCTATGAATATATGTACTTCTAAAGTAATACTACTTCCCAGTTAGCTCATTGTGAAGTAATGATACAATCAATGGGATGTTTTTCTACTGTTATGGATCTAGCGGAAAAAATGTTGTTTTGACATAATTGTTTTTCTCCATAGTTCATTGTCAAAATCTTTATTCTCCTAATACATTCACATAGTCCATATAAGTGCAGCTTTTAGTTCGTAAAAGTACTTCGTACTTTGCCCAATTGATTTCACTAGATCCCCTGTTCTGTACAGTATGGATGAAACACCTTGTAATTATTGGTAGTCTTGTGCTGAATGCAGTTTATAAAGAAAAATAATCTTTCATGACGATAAAACTGAATATTTTCAGACAGGAGCATCACACAAGGCATGACGAGTTCATGTCAAACACCTAGAACTCAAGTCGTCAACAAGTTGACAACATTGCATACTTGGTTTCACTAATTAAAGTAACAAGCAGATACCAATCCACAGTTACACCACAAGGCGGCATCTTGGCGTTGCCAGGCGAGAGGCTACGATGGATCGGCGTTGCTAGGGGTAGGTTTGGTCGTGTCAGGTGTGGGCTTGCGGCAAGCCTCTCCGGCCTCCTGCACTGGCATTGGGCTCCGTACACGAAAGAGGGGTAACTAAAGTACTAAACAAAGAATATATGAAACTGTAAAATCAAGTGCTTTCTCCTCCCATTGCAAAATCATTTTGTTTCTCCCGTTGCAACGCACGGGCACAATTACTAGTAAGTACTAGTAAGCATGCACGTGAAATTCACATGCATATGCGTGCCTGGCATGGCAAAGATGACATATCTAGTGCATGCTGATGCGTCTTTGTATCCTGATGAAGCATCAAAACTGTACCCAGGGAAATACCACCATAAGCATGCTGTAATAAGATGGATATGCTTCATAGCTAACTGTCGCCTGAGTTTCCAAAGATTTTTCTTGTACACAAGTTTTACATGTCAAGTAGTAATAAGATGGATATGCTTCATATCTAACTGTTGTCTGGTTTTCCAAAGGATTTACATCCATTCATCGTCGTGCCCACAACATGAACCAAAAACAAAATTCGTAGTTCAATTCAAAATACAACCTTTTGCAGCAAACTAACCCATGCAAAAATTAATAAGAAATTCACATATGAAGCAGATGTATCAAAAATTTACATGACCCAGCTGGATCATCTTCATCCGCTGTAAAGGTATATCCAGCATCGGCTTCGAAAAAGGCATATCAAACCGCCCTTATCTCCCTTCAATCCCTCTTAATCTGAGATCCAACGGCTCGCGGGAGCCCGCATCACGGGACGACCTAATCTTCCATACCACTTGATATGTTCCCAGATCCAGATAGCTATTAGAAACAACAATATGGCCAGAAACAAAGCTAGCTTAGAACATTCCCCTGGTTCAAACAGAGAATAGATGCATCTGAATAATTATTTTTCATCTACATTTAAATAAGGGAAATAACTACAGGTGTTAAACATGCCAGGGAAACTACAAATCTTTCCACTTAGTACAGAACTATACACTTAGTACAGAATTCACCATGTGCTTATCAGGATTGCAATAAAGGTTAATGACAGTAAAAATGAAAGTTAACCTCTCCCTGGATCATCAAATAAAGAAAATTGAGCACCATCATTGATCCGAGAGCTTATAACATGCAAGAACTATACACTTAGTACATAATTCACAATGTGCTTATCAGGATTGCAATAAAGGTTAATGACAGTAAGAATGGAAGTTAACCTCTCTCTGCATGCATCATCAAATAAAGAAAAACTGAGCATCAGCATTGATCCGAGGGCTTATACATGCAAGAAATATACACTTAGTAGAGAATTTACCATGTGCTTATCAGGATTGCAATAAAGGTTAATGACAGTAAAAGTGGAAGTTAACCTCTCTCTGGATCAATAAATAAAGAAAATGTGTTTGCCCATCGTGTTCATAAAAATAACTCATTATTTCTAAAACCATTAATTCAAGATATACATCAGATGTGCACTTCTACTTATTCAATTTGGAAGCGTCACATGACAAACAGAGTTTGACTTACTTCAAACAAAACATTCACATGCATGGTAATAGCAATCAATTTGTATAATGACATTTGAGCTTACGATTATGAAACCCATCGAAGATCTTCTTGATGCGAGGTATAGCAGTAGAAAACCGAGAAGGACTCGACCTACAAGCCATCCAAACACCAACATCAATCAGTCAGCTGCACCTATCGAAGATCTTCT